TCTGCCTTACGAAGCCAGACTGAATGAACTTAATTTGTTTCCCCTCAATTACAGGCGACTGCACATTAACTTCATTCAAACCTACCAGATTGCCGGGGGTCGCGAGTTTACCGAGAGTTTGATGAATTCTTTGAATTGTCTGGGACAGACTGCCTGTATGGTAATTCCCTTGAACTGTAGATGAAGTCGGTCCACACGGGCGGCCGACGAAACGCCTTTTCGAAGAGGGTCGTTGGGAGATGGAACAAACTCCCTTGTACGGTGGTTCTTTAAGAAGGGATGACACATGTAAATGCAAACTAGGTACTCATTTGCTGAGAAACTACTATACGTACAATTAAGATTGTGCAAGTGGTGGTAGTTTGAGCCTGGCTCAGACATACTCTTGACAATGAAGCTTCCAGAATAGCTGGTGTCAAAATCGTCTCTATCACTATTTTCAGGTATTAAAGATCGAAAGTACTATTCCCTTAATAAAGTGGCTTAAGGACCGATATGTTATTTGGAGTTGGCCCGTCATGGACTTCTCCAACCACATCTTTGTTTGTCTCAATCCCGCATCCGGATACAACATGTCCTAAGAACTTAACCCTGTATCGCAGGTTTATGCACCTTCGTATGCAACCCGACAACATAAGAACTAACAGGCACCTGATTGTCCTCCAAAGGTACTCGAAGACCCCCTGATATTCTTATTCGTCCGCCATATGTGACAGCGAAACGAGTCTGCTGTGTAGAGGAGTGGATAATGGAACAATATACAGGCGTAAATGTCGGCAACGCATCATCTCACGTGAAGGAAGCCTTACGATCCACGAAGGCTCCCGGCGACCCGACTGGCCTCCCATTCGTCCACTATGCTTATCCACTATCCCGTGAGTATTAGGCCGTGGCGCGAGTCTTATTTACCCGTAGGGACTTACAGAGATTGCGAAGAACTGCGTTTTCAAACGGTGGATTTACTCTGGAGCTCCCCAAATGCACAACCGTAATGGCAGTGTGAAAGAGAAATTAAATAGGAATCGTAAGTGGGCTGGAAAGTAAGAGCGCGGTGCGTCCGCTTCTGTGGTGTAGTGGTTATCACGTCCGCCTCACACGCGGAAGGTCCCCGGTTCGAAACCGGGCGGAAGCAGCATTTTCGTATTCGCCATTAAAACGTTTCTTGCCATGCCACCGGCGGATCCTCCTTTGAAACATGCATTTTTCTTACATTTTACCCTATAACTTCCGGTTCTGCGTTGTCCGTGTGGAAGCCTTCGGAGAGTCATTCAGTGCAGTGTGAGATGCGCCTGTCTGGCGACTTAAATCGCCTCGGGCTACAACGCCCTCAACTCGCTCGAATAGGCGCGTCTACTAACTGTCCCCGTGTGGACAGTGTCCGCTAAGATTTCTGAGAAAATCCAGTCAATCGCAACACTAGGCCGCGACCGGGTGACCGGGCTAGCCCATGGGCGAGTAGAATACTATCAGGGATACCCAGTTTTCCCATCATTTTCTCGAAATAACTCTTTTTACAGCCCACTTAAGTTTATTTAAGGGAAATTTATTTACATGCCTTCGAATTCCCTTTTGGTTACAACTGGCAAAGGTATGTCAAAAAAACAAGAAAATGGATATCGATGGGGTGCAGGAAAAACCTCAAAACCTTGCAGAATTACGACCCACTCCAAGTGTTAGCAGCATCGAAAAGTCGATATACACGAGTTGAGGCTTGTAGTGTAAATGTGGACTTAGAAACTACAAACAATAATATCTGCAAAGAAAACTAACTCCGAATGGGGGAATTGTGTTTACGAACAAAAAGGAATGTACAGATTGAAAGAACCAGATAAGGAATGTTTCAGACTCACGTAAGGTAGAATCCTATCAAGTAGGGAGATAGTGTCCCGATGAAGGAATGGTTGAAGGGAGGCTCTAGGTTCCGCGATGGTCCGTTGAAGTTAGCTTCGAGGAGGAAGTCTCCGGCAGCACGAACGAGTTGCTAAGAGAATTGAGAGGTGACAAGCGCACGCCAAGAAATAACGACGTTAAACACACTCGAGACCAGAACACATGTTGACCGCCGTAGCGTTGTTCAAAAAAGTGTATTCTCAGTTTAGTCAAACAAATGTACAGGCAGGTCAGGTGTACAAGCAATGTAGTGGAACAAATCAAAAGTGTACAAAGGCCTACACAACTCCCCCACCAGAGCGTTTGCCGAAGAAACAAAACGCTCGATAAAATAAAACGGGAAAAAAAAATTACACTACAAAGTCTTTAAGTCTGGCGGGAAAACGGATATGTCTACCGGAGCGAGACGTACTAGGCGGTGGTGTAGGAGGAGGATCCGGTTGGGTGGGTAGAATGGTCAAGTGTGGTGATGGAGGGCAGGTGAGCGGAGTGGGTGTATCGGGTGAGGACGTAGTAGGGGGAATGGATGGCGCACTGGTCGACGGGAGGCACTCCAGATAGGCTGGCTTAAGGCGGTCAATGGAGACCGTGTCGGTCTTATCAGCCTTTTGAAGGACGTAAAACTTGTCATTCCGCTGAACGACCTTATAGGCGGTCAATGGAGACCGTGTCAGTCTTATCAGCCTTTTGAAGGACGTAAAACTTGTCATTCCGCTGAACGACCTTATATGGGCCATCGTAGGGAGAACAAAGGGGCTTGCGCACTGCGTCATGCCGGACGAAAACAAAAGGGGCGGATTTAAGGTCCTCGCGTACAAACACGTGTTTCGAGGTCAGACGAGTGGGGGTTGGACGCAGTTGAGCCATGCGTTGTTTCAACTGCTGTACGAAGGTGCTCGTGATGTTAGTGTGTGTTGTGGAAGGCTGCACCAATTCGCCAGGCAGACGGAGGGGTGTACCGTACACAAGTTCGGCGGCGGTGCATTGGATGTCCTCCTTGACAGAAGATCGGATGCCCAAAAGCACAAGAGGGAGATTGACACTCCAAGTAGCTGACTCTGTTTGGGACATCAGTGCGGACTTCAGTTGGCGGTGTAGACGCTCAACGAGACCGTTGGAGGCAGGATGATATGCCGTGGTTGTGATGTGCGCGCACCCGAGCAGTCTAGTGAACTCACGGAAGAGGCTAGATTGGAATTGACTTCCGCGGTCGGTGGTAAGGGTGGCTGGAACACCAAAAGTTGAGATCCAGTGGGTCAGAAAAACCATGGCGATATTTTCTGCCGAGGTATCCGAGATAGGAACGGCAATCGGCCATCGTGTGAAACGGTCAACGGCCGTCAGGATATGTGTGTACCCACGTGAAGGGGGTAACGGTCCGATTAAATCCAAGTGAACATGATTAAATCGAACATCCGGGACCGCAAAGGTACTTGGAGTGGAGAAAGTGTGTCGATGAACCTTGTTCTTCTGGCATGCGAGGCACTGTTTAGTCCAAAGAGCAATGTCGGAATTCATCTTCGGCCAAACAAAACGAGCCGCGATTAACTTACGTCCAGCGCGAATGCCAGGGTGGGAGAGGGAGTGGAAGTGGTCAAAGACGACCTTACGATAGGATAGTGGAACAACAGGACGAGGGGTGCCTGTGGACCAATCGCACAAAATCGTACCTGGTGACGCAGGAAGTGGTGCATCTCGAAGCTGCAGAGTAGTAGACGTACGTAAGTCCGCGATGGACTCGTCTGCTGTTTGGAGGTCTGCAAGCCTCGCCAGGTCGAAATCGGATGTGAGTGTGTTGATGTCCGGACGGGATAATGCATCAGCAACGACATTGTCGCTGCCTCGGACGTAGCGGATGTCGGCAGTAAACTGCGAAATATAGTCCAGGTGACGAACTTCCCTGGGCGAGTACCGATCTGGCTTGGCCTTCAGGGCGTAAGTGAGAGGGTTGTGGTCGGTGTGGACCGAAAAGTCTCTGCCCTCTAAAAGGTGTCGAAAGTGACGGATGGCCAAGTAGACGGCTAGGAGCTCGCGAGAGAAAGTACTGTAGCGAGTCTGCGCCGGTTGTAGCTTCTGTGAAAAGAAAGCTAAAGGCTGCAACTGGTTATTCACCTGTTGATGCAAGACTGCGCCGACAGCACTGCTGGAAGCGTCGGTGGTCAAAATGAGCTGTGTATGAGCGTCAGAGCTGAGGTGGTGCAGCATGGTGGCATCGGCAAGAGCCTTTTTCGCTTCCTCAAAAGCTGTGTGGGCTGCCGGTGAAAGTTCAGTAGGTTTTGCCTTCGACTTCAAAAGGTCAGTCAAGGGAGCCAGGATTGCCGCACAGTGGGGAATAAAACGTCGGTAATAGTTGATAAGGCCTATGAAACGTCGCAGCTGAGTGAGTGTGTTGGGAACAGGGAAAGACAAGATGCATTGCACCTTCTCTGTAAGTGGAGTGATTCCGTGCTGATCGACGTGGTGGCCAAGGAAATCGAGAGAATTAACGCCAAAAAGGCATTTGTCGACGTTTAATTGCAAACCGTGTTGCTGGAAACGATCGAATATGAGGCGTAAATGCGAGGCATGTTCCTCTGCCGAAGAGCTTGCGACGAGTATGTCGTCGATGTAGGCGTAAGCGAATGGAAGGCCCCGCAAGATCTCATCGATGAAGCGCTGAAACGACTGGGCAGCGTTGCGCAAACCAAAGGGCATGCGAATAAATTCGAACAGCCCAAAGGGTGTCGTGATAGCGGTCTTTGGGATATCCTCCTCCGCGACCGGGATTTGGTGGTACGCCCTGACGAGGTCTATCTTGGAAAAAAATAGTTTTGCCGGCTAACATGTGGGAATGGGGTACCGGTCAGGGATTGTGGACCTGTTTAGGGCTCGATAATCACCGCACGGTCTCCAATCGTCAGGGGACTTCTTTGGCACCATGTGCAGTGGTGAGGCCCATGGGCTAGATGAAGGGCGTATAATGCCCAGATTCATCATATGGTCGAATTCGTTCTTTGCTATTCGGAGTTTGTCAGGGTGGAGTCTACGCGGACGAGCGTGCACTGGTTGCCCTGCCGTGACAATGTGGTGTTTCACTCCGTGTTGAACGGTTTCGGTAAAATGGCATGGTTTAGTGATGGACGGGTAGTCCTTCAAAATGTCAGCGAAAGGG